TGGGATCCAGCCCTGTGTCAGGCTCCTTGCTCAACATGGAGTCTACTTGTCCCTCTCCCTCTGTCCCCATTCTCCTGCTCACGCACGCACTCTCTCTCTCTCAAATAAATAAAATCTTTAAAAAAATCCTGCTTTATATTACAAATGGAAGTTTAAATATTAGAGTGCTTTATATAAAGTATCATTTAATAACTGGTTGTAAGTGTTTGGCCAGGAGGTATTACAGAATATAGGTTTTAGATTTTTAAGCAGTCCCTCTTGGCCACATCAAGTTGGAGTTTCAAGGAATGTTAGAAATGGATCATCACTAGATGGCAGTCTTTCTCTAGTTTAAGTCGTTTATTCCAGGTTGGGGGGTGCGGGGAAGCTATTCTTTGTTCAAGTGCAGTGTTGACAACGAATATTAGGTTAACTTCTGTAGGTCTAACCTTTCCAGAATTTAAGACTTGTTTATTTTTATTTTTAAAATTCTGTGTTTATTAGATATATTGGCTAGCACTAAGGCTGAGATACACTTGAAATGCTGGTAGAAATTGAGCTGTTAAGTAGTGATCTATAATTGCCTTTTCCTGTGCTGGGCAATTTGAAACAAAACTTTTAAATCAGTGATTTTTAACCTTTTTGATAACCAGATGGAAACTATAGATCAGTTTCCTTTAAAATTACATATATATGCTTCTCCCTATATACACATTAAATCTGGAAATTGTGGATTTCTTGATATTATGTAACCATGAAACACAAGTTTGTAAACATAGTCCCAACACCCTTGTTTTAAATATGTGGGTTTTACATTTATTCTAACTTCTTTTTTTTTTTTTTAAAGATATTTTTTATTAGAGAGAGAGAGTACAAGCAGGGTGAGCGGCAGGGAGAGGGAGAGGGAAAAAAAAGCAGGCTCCCCGCTCAGCAGGGAGCTCGACGTGGGGCTCGATCCCAGGACCCTGGAATCATGACCTGGGCCGAAGGCAGCCGCTCAACTGACTGAGCCACCCAGGCACCCCTATTCTAACTTCTTTTTTTTTTTTTTTTTTTTTAAGATTTTATTTATTTGCGAGAGAGAGAATGAGAGACAGAGAGCATGAGAGGGAGGAGGGTCAGAGGGAGAAGCAGACTCCCTGCCGAGCAGGGAGCCCGATGCGGGACTCGATCCTGGGACTCCAGGATCATGACCTGAGCCGAAGGCAGTCGCTTAACCAAATGAGCCACCCAGGCGCCCCCTATTCTAACTTCTTAAATACTCAAGATACTCAGGGGATCTGCTATAAACCTTTGATGTTATTCAACATTATTATAATTAAAGAGAATAGTAGAATCCTAAAGGCCCTAAGATAGGAGAAATAGTTAGGAGCTAATGATAGGATATGGAAATTCATTAAGTTGTTTTGAACTACTACCTGTTAACACTCCTCTGAAAAATGTATGATCTTTACAGTTTATTGACTTAATCTGAAAGTGGAAGTTAATTGTAGAAACTTAGAGGTAGGCTGATACTTAAGAGAATTAGTAACTGATTGCTTCCTATTTTTTTTTTTTTTAAGATTTTATTTATTTATTTGACATAGAGACAGCGAGAGAGGGAACACAAGCAGGGGAAGTGGGAGAGGGAGAAGCAGACCTCCCGTCGAGCAGGGAGCCCGACGTGGGGCTCGATCCCAGGACCCTGAGATCATAACCCGAGCCGAAGGCAGTTGCTTAACCAACTGAGCCACCCAGGTGCCCTGCTTCCTATTTTCTAAATGGGAAAGCTGAGGGTCAGAGAGATTAACTGAGTTGCCCAAAGATTCATAGCTGGTTAGTTGCATTGCTAAAACAAGGCTATATACTCAGGCAGCTAAAATCCACCTTTCCTTTCTTTGATTTATATTTTTTTATAGGAAGTTCAGGGAACTAGGTTGCTAGGCAGGCATTATTAATGTGTTACGAATTTCTTAATTTGGGGATTTTCTTCTCTTTGAGTTGTCTTTTGTGATATTGATATAGATCTTTGGAAGGGAAAAATGAAGAAAAGTTCTACATAGTAGAAGGAAGTAGATGAGCTACTTAGAAGTATGGTCAAGATATAACTGAATTTGGAACCAGGGAGTTGTCTAATATTGAATACTGTCTGCTCATGTCATTTAGATTGATACGTTTTCATTGGTTATTGCTTTTCTATAAATGGCAAGGAATATTAGTATCTTCACAGGGAAACCTTTTCCTTTTCTTTGGAAGGGGAAATTTATGCTTATTTGAGGTTAGTTGAAATGTCATTGGTAGATTCTGCCTTCTGTCTGTATTTCAAGCTCCTTCAGGCAACTGGTTATTCTATAATGTGTCTTAATTGTCAAAGCGGGAATTGTTTATAATTTATTTGACGATCTCATTATTTCAAAGGAAGGAGAATGAATCTAGATTGCTGTGGGTTTCCTGAAGTAAGTGATCAGAATTTTTACTGGAAGCCAAACTTGTGTATGCATTGTCTGTAGTTACTGCTGAGTTTTGGGCAGTGGAACTGATCTGCTGAGGAGAGTGCACAAGATCACGGTCATGATCTGGTACCTACAAGTGATTCTAGAGCCATAAAATGTTGGTAATGAACACATGTATGTTTGTTAAACAAACAAACAAACAAAGATGTCGAAGAGGTTTAGAGATAATATTAGTCACTCATTTAGTCAACAAATGTCTACTCGTTGCCTGCCACCTGTCTGGTACTGTTGTAGAGGTACAGTGGAGAATATGGCAAACAGAATTCTTGCCCTGGAGCTTATAATCTAATTAGGGTGGGTTGAGGGGAGAGATAGACAACAAACAGGATGATGAGAATGAGAAAGTTGTTTGAATATATAGAGGATGAACATGACTAGCATAAGAACTGCAAAAATAAAATTCTTGAGGGAAGAAGAGGCTTGGGGAAAAAAAAGCCATTTTAGCTAGAACATAGGGGATCGAGGGTGGCTGGGGGTGGGACCTAGAGAGAAATGAGGTTGGAGAGGTATCAGAGGCTAGACTGTATAGGATCATATAGGCTATGGTAATGGTTTAAGATTTTTATTCCTTTGGTAAAGAAAAACCATTAGAAAGATTTAAGCAGAGGGATAACACCTGATTTATTGCTTTATCAAGATCATTTTAACTGCTGTGTGGAGGGTGTCTGCATGGAGGTGGGGAGATGGGGAGATGGAAACTTTTGGGAAGCTATTACCCTGTGCCAATGATAGAGATTTGGACTAGGGTTTTAGTAGAAATGGTGGGATGCAATCCACTATTAAGATATGTTTTGGAGGTTGAGTTGTCAGGATTTATTAATCGTTTGGATGGGGTGTGTGATGGAAAGAGGTGGATTAGGAGTAATTCCTGCATTTGAATTTTTTTTTTTTTAATATTTATTTATTTGACAGAGAGAGACACAGCTAGAGAGGGAACACAAGCAGGGGGAGTGGGAGAGGGAGAAGCAGGCTTCCCGCGGAGCAGGGAGCCCGATGTGGGGCTCGATTCCAGGACCCTGGGATCATGATCTGAGCTGAAGGCAGATGCTTAACGACTGAGCCACCCAGGCACCCCGCGCCCCCCCCGCCCCCTGCATTTGGATTTTTGACTTGGGCAACTGGAGATGCCTTTAGTTGTGATGAGGTGGGTGAGTGGTGGAGAGATTTGGGGAGGAACAGGTTTGGGGGTGTGATAGCTTGGCAATAGATGATTTTTAAATTTGAGATGGCTTTTAAAAATCCAGTTGTAATTGTTAAATAGTAGCTGCATATTTGAGAATCTAGTGCTCAGTAAAGTGCTCTGAATTCAAGATGTAGATTAGGAAGTCCTTATTATGTACAGGGTATTTTATGGCATGGCATTAGATGACATTGCTTGGTAAGAGAGCATAGTTAGAAAAGATAGGTTGTTTTTGGAATCTTTAGAAGAAGAATAGAGGAGGAGGAGCCCAGAAAGGAGGTTGAGAAGGCTTGTCTGTGAAAGGATAAAAACCACACTATTGTGGTATCACTGAATTCTAGAGAAAAGATTGTTTCAAGAAGGAGGGTGTATCATATTACAGCAAATGCTGCTATTAGGTGGAGCAAAATGATTGCTAACTATTGGGAGGTGAGGAAGGGACAATGAGGTTTGCTGGGAGGGGAGCAGAGAAATAAGATGGTTAGCTGGAGGGAAATGTGTAAGTAAGGACAGTTCCTTTAAGTCATGTTTATATGCCCATGAGAATGATTTAGCAGAGTGGGGAAATGTATGCCGTAGGGGGTGAATAAAAGGGAATAATTGAAGGAGTAAAGTTCGTGAGACAACAAAAAGGGTTGACAGATAGGAGCTTGAAATGCTTTTTCCATTCTTACAGGAGGGTGGACAGAGTAGGAGTTGCAGAGGTAAGAAGGTTGGTTGATTTTAGTGGGAGAGTTTCTTTGAAATGTGGAGTCACATCAGCAGAGTGAGAGTGAGGGGATGGACATTTGAGGAGAGGACAAAGTAAGGTTCTCACACATAGTTATTTGAGAATACAAAGTGATTTTTTGGTGGTGGTGGTAGGGGGGATAGTTTTAGTAGTATTATCTAGCAGTATTTATTGAATGCCCAATTTAGATTTGTGGTTATATAGCTAAACTGAGTCAACCCAGCACAGCTGTGTTTTTCTCCAGCAGCATCAGCTTCTTGGGTATAGTTATGGAGTGATTAGATAGTTGGCTTTATCCAAAATTGAGTTTTTCTAGGTAAGTTTCAGAAAGAAAGTTGCAAAGGAGTTGTAATTCAGTCCTTTCGTTTTATGACGATAATTCTGTGATGAATACTGTCAAATATTTAAATATTTTTGAATGAATAGGAAGCAAAATTTCTGTTTTCCTAAAAAAAATTTCTCATCTAGAATTGGGGCAATATTAATATAATTGGATTACTCTGTGGTTAATGTACCTTCAATATGAAATTTCTAAATAAATTCACTTCTGGATTTGTAATTCTGTTTCTCTTTCTTAGAAGTAAATCTGGTGTAATCTTCATGCTATGTTTTTTTAAAGGTCTGTCTATGACGGTGAGGAACATGGACGATTCATGGAGAAGCTTGAAACTCGCATCCGCAATCATGACCGGGAAATTGAGAAAATGTGCAACTTTCATTACCAGGGCTTTGTGGACTCTATAACTGAACTGCTGAAAGTGAGAGGGGAAGCTCAGAAACTCAAAGTAAGAAGGCTCTAAGAGGGACTTGTTTCTCCATCCTGTGCTGGGGTTTTGATTTGCATTAAAGGAGTAGGGAATACATTGCTGGTTACATGTTTGGAGTAAAGAAACTAAGGAAGGAATTTGCACTGAAACATAGATAATTGGGATGATTTTAGCTAAAAAGAATACTATTCTAAGTTAAATTTTATTTTGGATAACTACATGTGGATGAGAAATATGACAGATTCAGATTCAGAAAGGAGAGCAGCCATATTGGTCTGGCCCCTTATCTTGGATAACTGACTTTGCTTATTGATTGTAAATCTGATCACTTCACTAAACTCTTCTATTATTTCTAATAATTTGTGTGTGGACTTCTTTTGAGTTTTCTGTGTAAACACTCATATGCTATGTAAGTAATAACAGCTTTATTTCTTTCTTTCCAGTCCTTATGCCTCGAATTCCTTCCTTCCTTCCTTCCTTCCTTCCTTCCTTCCTTCCTTCCTTCCTTCCTTTTCCTTGCTTACTCCTTTCCCTTTCCCTCCCTCCCTCCCTTTTTTTTCTCTTCACTTTTCTCTTTCTTTCTTTCTTTCTTTCTTCTTTCTTTCTTTCTTTCTTTCTTTCTTTCTTTCTTTCTTTCTTCTTTCTTCTTTTCCTTCCTCCATTCCATTCCCTTCATCTTTTTCTTCTTCTCCTCTTCCTCTTCCTTCTCCTATTGGAATTTGGATTAAAATCCCAAAAGGATTTTCCTGGGGCATGGGGTGAACTTGACAGTGAGTATAAAATTCATATAGGGGCGCCTGGGTGGCTCAGTTGTTGAGCATCTGCCTTTGGCTCAGGTCATGATCCCAGGATCTTGGGATCGAGCCCCGCATTGGGCTCCCTGCTAGGCAGGAAGCCTGCTTCTCCCTCTCCCACTCCCCCTGCTTGTGTTCCTGCTCTCACTCTCTCTCTTTCAAATAAAGAAATAAAATCTTAAAAAAAAAAAGAAAAAAAATTCATATAAAAGAATACACAGGTAAGAAAAACAAACAATTTTATTGAGAGGGAAAGTGGGCTATTTAAAGCTATAGTGATTTAAAAGCTAATTTGAGGTGGCTCAGTTGGTTGGACGTCTGACTCTTGATTTTGGCTCCAGTCATCATCTCGGGGTCTTGAGATTGAGCCCTGCATTGGGCTCCACGCTCCGAGCGGAGTCTGCTTGGGATTCTCTCTCTCCCTCTCTCTCTGCCCCTCCCCAGTCTCTAAATTAAATAAAGTCTTTAAAAAAAAAAAAAGCTAATTTGACCGCAAAACCTAACCTGCATGAAGCTATCAAGCCTCTTAATATGTTTTATTTAGTGTAAAATTTTGTATTTTGCTGCAGAAATACTAATGTGTTTGATTGTGGGATCCTGTCCTACTACCCAGTGGGTAGGGGTGTTATGTAATATGCAGTATGTACCATATTATCTTTACAGAATCTCCAAATTTTTGAAGTCCAAAACACAGTGGGTCCCAAGGTTTCAGATAAGAGTTTATGGAGCTGTACAATAACTATCCAACCTTCCTAAGAAGTATATTATTGCCAACACAATTAAATCTGTCTTTTGTATCCTTCTTGCTCCCTTTACCCTCCCCGCCCAAAGTAATGGCTCTTCTGATTTGTTGTTACTGTGCTTAATGCTTAACTATTTTAGTTGAAATTAAGTTTGACCTGTTTTTCATTGTGCACCAACATTAATCTCAGGTGAATGAAACAGTTAAATGTAAAATACAAAACCATCAAGGAACTAGTAGAAAGTACAGATGAATGTTTTTGTGATTTTGGGAGTGAGGAATACATTTCTAAACAAAATTCCTAAAGCCAGAAAGAAAAAAGTTGATAGATATGACATTAAAATCAAAGAATCTTTTCTACATATAAGGTAAAAATTAAATATAAATAATAAATAAAAACTATTTAAAATACATTTGCTGGGGCGCCTGGGTGGCTCAGTCGTTAAGCGTCTGCCTTTGGCTCAGGTCATGATCCCAGGGCCCTGGGATCAAGCCCTGCATTGGGCTCCCTTCTCCGCGGGAAGCCTGCTTCTCCCTTTCCCACTCCCCCTGCTTGTGTTCCCTCTCTTGCTGTGTCTCTCTCTATCAAATAAATAAAATCTTAAAAAAAAAAAAATACAGGGCGCCTGGGTGGCTCAGTTGGTTGAGCGACTGCCTTCGGCTCAGGTCATGATCCTGGAGTCCCAGGATCGAGTCCCGCATCGGGCTCCCTGCTCAGCGGGGAGTCTGCTTCTCCCTCTGACCCTCCTCCCTCTCGTGCTCTCTGTCTCTCATTCTCTCTCACAAATAAATAAATAAAAATAAAATCTTAAAAAAAAAATACATTTGCCAATTGACTAATATCTGTAACATAGAAAAAGTCTTTATAAATTAAAAGGAAAAATATGAACACTCTAATAGGAAAGAGAAATATGCATTAATATACAGTGTATGAAGAAGAAATACAAGGGAACTCTACAATTTAGAAAGTTAAAGGAATGGAGGCTTAATAAAATTCCACCTAATAAAATGACAGAGATGAAAAAAATGATATTTAAGATTAGAGATATGATACCAGTCAACCAGGGTATGCTGGTTGGAGTGTAGATTACTACAACCTTTGAGGAGAGTTATTTTATTTATGAATACTTAAAACTCCACATTGTTTTAAAGACTTACTCTTTTTTTTTAAAGATTTTATTTATTTTGTTTTATGCGCACAAAGGTCAGGGAGGGGCAAGCAGAGAGGGAGAGCGAGAATCTGAAGCAGACTCTCCACTGAGCACAGAGCCCAATGTGGGGCTTGATTTCATGACCTTGAGATCATGACCTGAGCCAAAACCAAGTGTCAGACACCTAGCTGGCCAAGCCACCCAGGGTGCCCCAAGACTTATTCTGAGGCTATAGGTGCATGTATAAGGATGTTCATCTGATTTTTTTTAATGTATAAAACTTTTATTTTATTTTATTCATTTTTTTCCCTCCTCTGCCTTCTAATGTATAAAACTTTAAAATGTCCCTAAAGTCATTTAGTAGAAGATTAGTAAAATAAGTCATGATACATTCATTTAAGAGAATAATAAACTACAGTTTATTTTAGAAGGATATCTTACATGAGAAAGTATTAGAAATGTTTGCTTAATGTATAAAGCTGTTAAAAAGTATGAACAGTTTGATTATATTATATTTTATTTTTTTTTATTATTATTATTTTTAAAGATTTTATTTATTTATTTGAGAGAGAGAGAATGAGAGAGAGCACATGAGAGGGGGGAGGGTCAGAGGGAGAAGCAGACTCCCTGCTGAGCAGGGAGCCCGATGCGGGACTCGATCCTGGGACTCCAGGATCATGACCTGAGCCGAAGGCAGTCGCTTAACCAACTGAGCCACCCAGGTGCCCTGTTTAATTATATTTTAAATGAAAAGTTATGCTGAATTTTTGGGGGCTGAAATGGACCATTGAGGCTTCAGATGGACAAAAGTATCCAAAATGTCTGAAAACAAAGGTAGGGCCTTCCTGCCAGGAGCCATGTAAGCTGTTCGTCCTCACTCAGCCATCCCAGCTTTCCATTCTCCCCTCAAGCTGTTCTTTTCTGTGTTACTTGGATGTGTGTATTCCAGACTTCTCCCTCTGCTCCCTGGGTCCCCAGGTTGTGACGGGCGACACAAAGCCCTGTCTCTGGCTACTTAAGTAGTCATGTGGTAGAGTACCTTCTTGGCATACCTTTACTGAACATTGCCCATGATGTTCACCAATTGCTGGTATCCCTTGCTGGTTGGTACTCATCTTTTCTTCCTTCCTCCAAACTGTTTCCAGTTGCAAATTCCTTCAAATTACTCAGGATGCCCCTGAGAGAAACCATGACTGGGAGGCTACCAGTTCAGGGTATTTGACTGCTTCAGACTCCTGCTCATCTACTCTGAAGCCTGAGGGTATTAAAGTCTAGCAGCTCTTCTAGAGCAGGGGGAGCCATTCAACCTGGATTAGGAAGCTAAGAAAATTAGGGATTCTTGAACTCTAGAAAAGAGTTTAGAAAATGCAAAAGGCTAAGTATTAACTACTCTCAGTATTATTTTAACATAGCAATGATAAGAAACTACACTCTCTAGGATGCCCACTATTTCTTTTGAGTCATAGTGTATATATTATCTCTCTCCATATTTATGTTTTCTGCATCAAGAGGAGTGGTATCCTAGGTAGGCAATATACTTTCTTTTCATTTTTATGTTAAAATAATAATGAAATGGTAATTATCTTTCTTATTAGAAGCATTGGTTAGGCTCCTATGGATGTGTTTTAGAACCGTTGTTTGCACGAGATCAAATTAGTGGGCCATAATCAGTATTTTTAGTAAAGATTGAAATGAGATAGAACAGAGCAGAATGGAAAGCAGTAAAGTGTATTACATGTAGTGAGGGTAAACACTGTTTCTTGAGAATTTTGTTTCAGAGGGGTGTGTGTGTGTGTGCGCACGCGTGTGTGTGCACGTGTGTGCGTGTGTGTGTGCGCCTTATACTTGTGTACTGGTTGCAATGTAAAATGTATTTCTCGCAATGAGTTTGAGGTAAAAAAAAAAGTTTTAGAAATGGTGTCTTTATAAGGTAAATAAAATAGAGACTGATTTTGAATTTAGTAGTATTTATGGAAGGTTGAATTTTATGAGCTCTCTAGTTCAGTATTAAACAACTAATTATTCTTGAATAACTACTCTGAAGGGGGGATAGCAGTACACAATTCAAGGCATCCCAACCCATTTTTATTCACATTACTTGAAAGCTTTTTCTTATATTAAGCTGATATTAATCCTATGTTCTAGTAACATCCATTTATTAGTTTAAGTAATAAGCACTATTTTTAGGACAGCACCTTTTTTCTAATAGCTTTTCAGATATTTGATGGATAGCTGTTATTTAGGTGTGGTATACAGTGTATAGTATCCAGGTATGGTATATAGTATTTCCAAATGAATATTCACCCCTTCTTTGGGCTAAGAAATCCTTTATTTTTCATTTGTGTGACTTGGGGTCCTTCTCCAAACATATTCCCATCTAATTGTGTTTCAGTTTGTCAGTGGCCTTCCTAAAACAGGGCATCTGAATGTAACTCTCATAATGTGGCCTCATAGCCTTACCATCTCATTCTAGACCAAGGATCAGCAAACTATATCTTGTAGACCAAATTCAGGTTGTCTCCTATTTTTGTAAATAAAGTTTTATTGGAATGCAGCAATGCCTCTTCACCTGCATTTTGTTTATAGCTCCATTTTTGCTACAGTGGCAGAGTGGCATGGTTACAACAGAGATTATCTACTTAGCCCTTTGCAAAAAGTTTCCTGACCTCTACTTTAGACAATGCTTCTATTGATGTTGTCTTAGGTCAGCTTTTGAGACAGCTACATCACACTCTTGATTTATATTGAGCTAGCAGTCTAATAAAACTGTGTGTTTCACGTGTGGTGCTATTAAATAAATAATAAAGAGGGAATTTGAGGGTTTCTTCTTTTTCTGTTACTGTATAAAGACTTTCTGGAGAAGGTTGGGTTTTGTTTTGTCTGTGAAAGGAGGTGCATGTCATAATCTGCTCTGAAAATGGTAGTCCAGGTATAGTATATAGTTGAGGGCAAAGTTTGCAAATGTGTGTTCCTGAAAAACTAGTTTCTTAAGATGATCCTTAATAAGAGGGTATTATGTTAAAAAAGTTTGGAAAACATTCTGTATGCTATCCCCTTATTGGGCATTCACAGAGCATGTAGAATATTAAAGGCTTCAAGAAGTCCTGAATAAACTAACCTGTTTAGTGGATTTTTCCCATACATATTTGGGGTGTGTGTGTGTGTGTGTGTGTGTGTATATTTGTGCAGGTGTGCACCTCTGTGTGCATGTGCAGAGTACCTATTAACTAACATTTCTTGGTGTTCTAAGGGATATAATAGGAAACACTGGGCTAAGGAATGCCTGAAAAGTGTAAGGAGTGGCAGTTATTGGTGGAAGGGTAGAGAGCCTCTATTAAAGTAAGCTTAGAAGTTAATATTGCTCATGTTTTGATAATGTGTGAGGTGCTGAGGAAATTACTGTTCTGTGTACTTAATTTTTTTAATATCAATCAAGTCTCCAAAAGTGGATATCAAAAAACTTGGTGCCAGTTCCTTTATATTACAAACTCTAGATAAATTTTAAGGCTTGTTTACTTAATTTTGACTATCTGATGGAGAGATTAATTTAGAAAAATGGGAATGTGGAAATGTTAGGAACTGTTAAAAATTAATGATCCAAAAAAAATTAAAATAAAAAATTTTAAAAGAATTTATTATTACTTATTTGACAGAGAGAGAGTGAACAAGCGGCGGGGGATGGGGGGGGTGGAGGGGGGAGACGGGAGAGGGAGAAGCAGACTCCTTGCTGAGGGAGCCCGAGTCGGGGCTTGATCCCAGGACCCTGTGATCATGACCTGAGCCAAAGGCAGACACTTGACCAACTGAGCCACCCAGGTGCCCCAAGATAAAATACTTTCTAAAATTAGGATAATGAATAGGGAAGATTTGGCCCGAGTTAAAAAGTTCAGTTTATACCCAAGTTTTCCAGGAATACGTTGGTGAGTTGAGGAATATTTATGATAAAATCTGTTTTTTGTACACATAATAGAGATGGTAAGGTTCTTTGGGTTATTTTTTCTGTTTTTTTCCTCTTCTTTCCAAAATTCAAGTGTGATCGTTAGTTGTTGTTGTATCTTAGTTTGGAATAGTCTAAGCTGAACACATCATTCAGTAAGTTTTTCTTTTCATTGTTCAAAAGATCATGCAATAGAAAACATTAGTAGAAAAGCTGATATAATTTAGACCCAAGAGAATGCCATTAAACCAGAATGTGTTGGAATACTGAAGCTATCTGAGTAACTGAGTTTTTAGTCTTTTCATTTAAAATGTGGTCTTCCCAACAGTTGTCTAAGTGTTTGTTTCTTATGAGTTTAAATTGTCTTCTCTCCACAGAATCAAGTGACGGATACTAATAGAAAACTGCAACATGAGGGAAAGGAAGTAAGGCCAGTTTACCTTTTGAAAAAATCTTCTCTGTTTCCTGTCATTCTCTTTTGATGACTGCATTCTTGATATAGTAGCTTATAAGACCATCAGGAGTGTGTTGGAAGAACTTGGACATTAATTGTTGCTTCCCCTAATGTTTCTCTGAATTATATGAATATAGCCACTAGAAAGCTTGGTGAGAGAGGCTGTAGCTTTTCTTCACTGTATTTTTAAATCACTTGAGTAGTCATAATACAGCCAGTACTCTTCCCTCTGTCTGGAATGCTTTTTCACAAATATTCTCCCACTTCAGACTTTGCCCAGATGTTCCCTCCTTAATGAGGCCTTTTATTTGAAATTGCAGACTTACTTTCACCCTTGTGTTCTTTTTACTTTCTTGTTTTATTTTTCTCCATATCACCTATCGTGCTCTACTATTACATATTTTTAGTTGTATGTTTGTTTTTTGTCTCCTTCCATTAGAAATTAAGCTCCATGAAGTCAGGAATTTTTGTTTGTTTTATTCATTGCCATATTCCCTCTACCTGCCTAAACAGTGACTGGCCCAAAGCGGGTGCTCCATCAATATTTGTTAAACAAGTGAATCAGTGATTCTGTTAACTGATATAATCACCATTTAAACCACCACAGTTTACAAGATTATTTTATATCCTTTTTCTCACTTGATTCTCATGACAGGCCTATCACTAAGTCAGGACAGGTATTATCTCTATTGGTGAGGAAGCTAAAACAGATAATTTGCTAAAATTTACATAGTAATTGGCAAGGCTGGGACTAAAACTCAAGTTTTCTGACTTGCAGTCCATTGCTGTTCTCTGTATCATGTACCTTTCTTACCGACTAGTAATTATTTAATGTTTAATTTTAATAATTCTTAAGATTAGCTTTCGATTGTTTTATCAATGACTTAGGGCAGTTCTCCTTTGCTCTTTTTTCATGGTATCTAAGCAGATAACGTTTTTAGGTATAGATTTGGGATGAATACTACAAGAGGCTATGCAGATTATTGCTTTTTGAAAGTTTGTCTCACATATTTCAAATTATGCAGAGAGTGCAGTTTCTTCCAGTTGTACTGTGCTATGACTTCAGATGGAAGCCTTTAAAACAGCTATGGGAAGGAAAATGAATTACTTTTCACTAAACTGGAACTCTCGGAAAAGCCATAACTTCTAAGTGTGTGGTTTATTTGTTAAAATAGAGATTTAGTTGAAGATCATTTTTAAGACTCAACTGAAGCATATTATATAGGGAGGATTGTTTCCCTTGAGTCTAGCATTGATGAAAGAAACATAGGATCTTCTCAGAAGATTTGATGAAACCATACATGACGAAGAGTCTGAGTAAAGTTTGGAGAAAATCTGCAAATTTTTTCTTTTCTTCTTTTCTTCTGAATAGCTCCTGGATTTGAGGATTTCATTTCAGCTAGCATTTTCCAGTATAGTATGTATCTTGGGGAGAAAATGGGAAACCATGCAGGAATGTTTTACTAGTTGAGAAAGGCAGTTTCTTAGTTCACTTGGCAGGTCTGTCTATGAAACTGGGATTTTTTGATGAATTGAACACAGGGTGGAAAAATGTGACTGAAAGCTTTTTATTTACAGCTACTGGCATAATTCAGTTTTCTTTTCCTCTTGCCAAGCTGGTAATAGCAATGGAAGAGCTGAAGCAGTGTCGACTACAACAGAGAAATATTTCAGCCACCGTTGATAAATTAATGCTGTGTCTTCCAGGTGAGGAACTGGAAATGGATTAGGATTCTTGATGCAATTCCTTTAGCTTTAGTAAATTTCTCACTTTCTCTGAATAATGCTATGTGTTCTTTTTTTTCCCTTTTCTTTCAAGTCCTGGAGATGTATAGCAAACTGAGGGACCAGATGAAAACTAAAAGGTAAGATTTTTTTTATTGAACATTTTTTCTTATCTTAAATTTCTGTTAATTAGGATAGTTTTAAGGTCCATATTTAGCATAACCTTTCAGGAAATAATTAAGTCCATATAACATCTTCTCTTCCCTTTTGTATATCTTATGATTCATCGTAAGACTTATTTACATGCTAGTATGGTATGCTGATATTTTGTCATGTATTATGTTTAATTAAAAAAAACCACTACTCATGTTTGGTTTTTAGAAGACCCGGTCTTTCAGGGGCAAAACATAACTTTTAGTGATAGTTGATTTGAGAAACATGCTTTGGTTTAGTATTGTAGTAGAAAAAATAGTTACTGGTTCTGGTGCAGGGATGAATTAGTCAGGGTTCTTCATTGAAACAGAATCAGTAGAGTGTTTGTGTGTGTGTATATGTGTAGAGAGAGAGATTGATTGATTGATCTTAGGGAATTGGCTCACGTGATTACAGAGGCTGGCAAGTCCAAAATCTGCAGAATAAGGTGATAAGCTAGGGTGTCAGGGAAGAGTAAATATTGTAGCCTGAGTTTGAAGGTGGTCTGCTGACAGAATTCCTTCTTCTTGGAGGAGTCAGTCCTTTTTCTGTTAAGGTCTTCAGCTGATTAAATGAAGCCCACCTAAATTATGGAGAGTAATCTTTTTTACTCAGAGTCTTTTGATTTAAGTGTCAATAATTTCATCTAAAAAATACCTTCAGGGCGCCTGGGTGGCTCAGTTGGTTAAGCGACTGCTTTCGGCTCAGGTCATGATCCTGGAGTCCCTGGATCGAGTCCCGCATCGGGCTCCCTGCTCAGCAGGGAGTCTGCTTCTCCCTCTGACCCTCCCCCCTCTCATATGCTCTCTCTCATTCTCTGTCTCTCAAATAAATAAATAAAATCTTTAAAAAAAAAAAAAACCTTCATAGAAATATCCAGAATAATATTTGACCAAATATTTGGGTACCATGACCTAGCTAAAGTTGACACACAAAGTTAATCATCACAGGGGGCAAAGTCAAGATTAAGTTTAGAGGATTACTCTCCTGTGTGTTGTTTTCCTCTGGTCTTATTCCAGAGGAAAGTCTGTAGTGACTCTTTCGCCCTTCTTCCCAAGCTAGAGTAAGCATCCCACCCTCTCTACCTTGGAGTATGCTGCAGTATGAGGGGGGTAGGGTGTGAAGCTGTAGGATAAACAGGACATATCTTTCTGGAATGTTGATTTTACCTAGGTTGTGAGGGAAAAAGTATAGAATTGAAATGTGATATTGAAATAACAATAGAAATATTGTGAATAAAAACATTAAGTTCTCAAGAATTTTAAAGCCTAAAGCATGAGGCAGCAAAATTTTTTGAATTTCTTAGACTCCCTTCTTTTCCCCAGGAGGATATGTTCACTTACAAGAACATAGGTAGGACAATATGAGAAGTTCTGTTCAGTGAAATATGATAACCTTTTAGTAAAGTTCTAAAATTATACTTTTCAGTGAAAAAAAAAACACTATGTACCAACTTCTCTGAATTAACAGATATTAATAGTTTTCCAGATTTGATTCATATATGTAAATATATATGAAAAAAAAATATGGACAGAGGGAGGTAAAGATAGAAATTTTAAAAAAAATTACAGATAAAACTTATGTCCTTTTCCTCAGCCGTGTTTCCCTACTCCCGTGAGGAAACCAGTATCATAAATTTGGTGTCTTTCTAGCCCACGTTTTTAATGTCTACAAATCATATATTGTATTGTGTTTTTAAAGACATTTATATGAATGGTTCTCAGTCCTTGTTTTTTTGAGATTCATTCATTCCACAAAAATGAATGGATTACTTACTATATGCTAGGCATTGTTGGGGATACAGCTCTGAAGAGAACAGACAAAAATATCTACTCGTATGGGGCTTACATACTTAGTAGTGGAGAGTTTATTTTCCTTAGGTATATAGATCTAGTTCACTTGACTTAATCCTTTATAATAGTCCACTATGTGAATAATTCACATTTCCCATCTCATTTCCAGTGGTTATCATAAGTGCTGTTCACCAGTATTTCTAGCTTAACCTTCTTCTGTCACATAGTAGGATTATATTTCCGGTGTGGCTGATAAGATGTGAGCAGAAGTGATGAATATTACTTTTGGGCTTAGAAGTTAATTTCTAGCACAAGTCCCTCCAGAGTTCTGTTTTCCCTTGGTTATGACAAATGGTAACTTTCAAGATGTTGGTTGAATCCCTGAGTAACTGTAATGAATAGAACTTCCCTGCCAACCTGTTATGGGTATATAATATGAGTAAGTTGTAAATCTTTGTTTTAAGACGCTGAGATTTTTGGGATTGTTGTTACTACAGGATAACTGATACTGTGAAAGACATTTGATGTGTTTCCAGTTATTTGCTGGGCAAACAGTGGTTCTATAAATATTCTTGTTCGTGTCTCTGTTCACACATTCAAGGTTTCTTAAGAACAGTGCTTTTCAAATGATGCTATATATACAAATCACATGGGGATTTGTTAAATGTAGATTCTGATTCAGGAGGTCTGGGCTTATTCCTGAGATTCTGCATTTTCTACCAAGCTCCCGGGTAGTGCCAGTTCTGCTGCCCTAGGGTTTATACCCAGAAAGAGATCAGCTGGATCAAAGAAAGGATGTTCATGTATTTGTTCTTACTGGGTATTATTCTCCAAAGTGAAGCCTATGCATTTAGACTCTCACTGGCATTTTATGGGAGGTCTGTTACTCCACCTCTAGGTAACATCTGTTGTGAAATGATAGATAATTGTTCTGTGGTTTCATTTCTTTGATTACTGGTGATATTGGTTTTTGGACATTTGGATTTTCTTTCATATATTTTGTCCATTTTTCTCTTAGGTTGTTTGTTGTTGTAGTTCATTTATTCATATATCTAATGAATATTTTGGATACCTTTTCTTCTTATTAGGAATATCCTGCAGATACTTGCTTTCAGTGCATGGCTTATCTATTAACTTTGTAAATTTAATACTTTTTGTTATATAGTAGCTGTAAATTTTGTTGTCATTTATCTTGTGGTCTTTAAAAAATTTTATTTTTAAACATTCTCAAGTACATATAAATTAGTTATGTTTTTTCCTGAACCAGTAGAAAGTAAGTTGCTGATGTGATGCCCTGTCCTCCCCAAGTACTTTGGTGTAATTTCCTACAAATAAAGACATTCTTCTTTGCAGCCACAATGCAATAGAGAATAAAAATTAACATTGATATGTTAGTAGCCTCTAATCCTCATGCCCAGTTCAGATTTTGCTAATTGTCTCAGTCATGTTCTTTATAGCAAAAGATCCAGTTTAAAACATGTGGTCATGTCTCTTTATTTTTCCTCAGCTTGGAGCTGTCCTCAGTCTTTCCTTGACTTTCATGACCTTGTCACTTTTGAAGATTACAGGCCAATTATTATGTAGAAGGCCCCTCTATTTGGGTCTGTCTGATATTACCTCATGATTACATTCATGTTATATGTCTTTGGCTGGAATATCACAAAAGTGGTGCTGTGTTCTCATTGTATCTTACCAGGTTGCACATAAATTTGATTTGTCCTATTAGTGATGATGTTCCTTTTGATTCTTTTCCATTGTGAAGTTGCTCTTTTTTACATTTGTAATTAAAAATTTTGTGGGGAGGTATTTTATAGTTATGTAAATTAACTATAAATTTTTCACCAAATTTTCACTTTAATTTTTTTTATATCAGTATGGACTAATAGTTTCTTATTTTATTTGATGAGTCATAATTTGTTAATATTACTTATTTTGTCGTTCAAATTATTCTGAATGGCACCAGAGTAGTCCCTCCAATCTGGCCTCTGTGTTTTTTTAATATGTCCTCATAATTTTTTGAGTACTTTAATACTAACAGAAGGAGAGATTTTTTCAGGTTTATCTTGTACTTTGCCTGCTGCAGCCCTGGAGTCAGTCATTTCTCTAAGTAGAGAATGTTATTTAGAAGCCAAGATCTATGCGCTCGGTGTACTCATTACTACTGAGTACCCTGGCTTTCATTACTCTCTTTTTTTTTTTTTTTTTTAAGATTTTATTTATTTGAGAGAGAGAAAGCATGAGCAGTGGGAGAGGCAGAGGAAGAGGGAGCAGGGAGCAGGGAGCAGGGAGCCCAGGCAGGGGCTTGATCCCCGGACTCTGGGATCATGACCTGAGCCGAAGGCAGACGCTTAGCAGACTGAGCCACCCAGGCGCCCCTCATTACTCTTAATATATTTACTTATTGGATCAGTTCCTTTTATGAAACTGATTACCTATTATTGCTGTCATTGCAACTCTTTATCTTGCTAACACCACACACTAAGTTACCCTCCTGTATGGTATCCTCCTTATTCCACTTGGGCTGTAATACTCTGTGGTATGCTTCTATCCTGCCTGAATGCCCTCCTCATCCCTATTTGGCTCTGACATATTCCATACCAGGCTACCTTTCAATATGGACATCCTCCTTACTTCACTAGGTCCCTTGCATACCATGCTGGTCTATCTCTTCCCTCTGCCCCCAACAGAGGGATATGGATGTTGTCATTTATTTAGGTCTTCCTTTAATTTTTTTCAGCAATGTTTGTAATTTTCAGTGAATAAGTCTTACATATCTTTTGTCATATTTATCTCTAAATATTTAATGTTTTTTGGTACTTGTTTTAAATGGTATTGATTTTTAAATTTCAATCTCCAGTCATTTATTGCTAGTATACTATTTTATTTTTTGTATGTTTATCTTGTCTTCTGCAATCTTCTAAAGTCATTTCATTAATTATAGCAGTTTTTTGGTTTAATCCATTGAATTTTCTGTGTAGATGATCATCTTGTCTACAAATAAAAAGTTACATTTCTTTCTTTACAATAAGAAAGCTTTCTTTTTTTTTTTTTGTCTTACTGAACTGGCTAGAACCTCCTGTATAATGTTGAATAGAAGTTAGAAGTAGTGAGAATGAATATCCTTGCCCTGTTCCTGATCTTAGGGGGAAAGCATT